ATAAGAAAAGCCTGAGTTCTGCCTGAAAACTTTTGATTTCATCTTCACAGCACCTCACCTCCCTTTTTGCAGGCAGGCTGGCAGAGGGTGGCATCCAGTGGGCCTCCCCATGCTGACTGCTGGCCCTCTTGTTGAATTAGGTCACGTTTTCAAAGCCTAAAACATCTTGAAACATATGATGACCATTGCTCATTCCGTGCCCTCTCCAGCTAGACAGAGCTCAGGAGGAGGGAGGAGCACCTCTGCTGCCGGCTGGCCAGAGCTCCCATGTGGCCCGTCACAGTTGTAGCCTGGGAGCTGGGGTGAGCTCTTGGGCCGGGCTGAGCTCTTGGGCCCAGCTGTGTGGGGTGCTGGGGTACCCATGCTCCAAGGCACTGGCTGTGGGGCTGTGCTGGGTTCTGGGAGGACAGGGTGGGTTTAGGGTCTCATCAGTTTATAGACTGCTTCCCTGTCCCGCACCCTAGGGCGGAAGCCTGCCTTTGAGTTTTTTCCTTTGCAGGAAGCCCTTATTTTGGCATCTGCATTAAGGTGCAGTGTGCTGGTAAGAATGTTGGCTTGCCCCAGAGAGGTAGGATTTTGGACCCCAGCCTGCCATTCCTGCTCTGTGGGCTGTGGGCAGGTGACTAACCTTGCCAGCCTCTACACCCTCCTCTGTGCAGTGACTATGAGGAAGGAAGGAACAACATGGTCAGACGTTGGAGACCTTAGATTCTGTAAAGCACGCATATGAGACCTGGCAGAGCATGCTGCCTGTATGGGGCTCTTGTCTTTTTGCGGTCTTCATGGCCTGACACGTTGCGGTGCCTTTCTGGGGTGAGCCTGAGGGCTCAGCAGGGAGAGGCAGTGCGAGACCAGTGAGAGCCTGTGTAGAAGCGAATAGCCGCATTGTCCTTCAGTCTCGGCTGAATGGCTTTTATTTAAACCTCTTCTCTGTTAGAGTGTCCTACTTTGCAGTACCGAAGAATATCTGTTCATCTGCGGTTCTTCAGTAAAGAATAGTTTAGACCCCTAAATGCTATCTGACCCTGTAACTTTCTAGGTCTAAGGAACAATTATTTTAAAGGATAAAGATGTTGGTTTAAAAGATGTAGATAACACTAGCCAATGTGTTGACTTCTTTATAGGTACAAACTGTAGGCCACAAACTGCTGGCGTAAAGCTGGTTTCAGCCTGTAGATGTGTGGGTGTGTGTATGCTTGTGCCTGCAGAGTGTTTTAATTTTATATTTTGAATTCAAATGATTTTCTATTTGGGAGATTTATATTTTTAACTTGTCTTGAAAGAACAGAAGGTCTGGTACAGCTGTGCTTCGATTCCTCTGTGGCCGGGTGGTGCCGGCCCGTCTGCCTGAACCTCTGCACCTTATCCCTGTCTGTCCCTGCCTCCAGGGTTTCCTGCCAGTGCCATTCGTCACCCTGCACTCAGCCTGCTGCAGTCATTCACTCCTCATGTCACTGCCTGGCCTGTGTAGGCGTTTCAGTTCATTTTCACCTAGTAGGCCTTCAAATATTTGTTGAATGAAACTGTTATTTCTTCCAGTCCTCAGAGCAATCCTCAATTTACAAAGGAAGAAATTGAGACCAAAGAAGTTCTAGTGTTTTGTCTAAGGTTACACAGCTCCCTAAATGGCCAAGTAGGTCCGTAAGTCTACTTATTAATAATTCACTCTAAAGCTAGTAATTTTTCCAGTAAATCTCTTAAACGTTTATGGCCCAGACTTTCTAAGTAGCTGACTGGGTATTGATTGTTCTTTAAAGAGATCACCCATTGAGATTTGCTCTGAGCAGATGTGTTATCCCTAGAAAATAAGCAGTGGCGATACACTTTAATAATAATATTCAAGTTGTAGTAGCATTGACTACTTCTGTAATATGTGCATTTTTCTTTTTTTGTTTTTTTTTTGAGACAGCATCTTGCTCTGTCACCCAGGCTGGAGTGAAGTGATGTGATCTTGGCTCACTGCAATCTCCACCTCCTGGGTTCAAGCGTTTCTTGTGCCTCAGCCTCACAAGTAGCTGGGACAAACAGACAGACACCACCATGCCTGGCTGATTTTTTCTTTTTATATTTTTAGTAGAGACGGAGTTTCACCATGTTGGCCAGGCTGGTCTCCAACTCCTGACCTCAAGTGATCTGCCTGCCTCGGCCACCTAAAGTGCTGGGATTACAGGCGTGAGCCACTGCACCTGACTGCATTTTTCAATGTAAAAATGTTTCCTAACATTAGAAATTTCTTTTTTTTCCCCCCAAAATAAACTGATAATCTGTGTTTGTCAGCTCTGGCTGCCATAACAAAAAGCTGTTGACTGAGTGAGTTAAACAACAGAAATTAGTTTTCTTACAGTTTTGGAGGCTGAGTTCTGGTTGGGGCTCTCTTCCTGGCTTGTAGATGGCTGCCATCTCACTATGTGCTTATATGACCTGTTCTATGTGCCTACACAGCTCTCTGGCTTCTCTTATGAGGACACTAATCCTCTAATTTTAGAGTCCTGCCATCATGACCTCATTTAACCTTAATTGCCTCCTTTTTTTTCTTTTGTTTTTTGAGACGAGGTCTCACTCTGTCGCCCAGGCTGGAGTGCAGTGGCGTGATCTCAGCTCATTGCAACCTCTGCCTCCCAGGTTTAAGTGATCCTCCTACCTCAGCCTCCCAAGTAGCCGGGATTACAGATGTGTGCCACCACGCCCAGCTAGTTTTTGTATACTTTAGTAGAGACGGGGTTTCACCATGTTTGCCAGGCCAGTCTTGAACTCCTGACCTCAAACTCGCCTGAACTCGAACTCCTCAACTTGAACTCGCCTGCCTGGGCCTTCCAAAGTGCTGGGATTATAGGCACGAGCCACCATACCCGGTTACCTTCTTTTTTAAAAAAAAAAAAAAGCCTGAGTCTTGCTTTGTCTCTGAGGCTAGAGTGCGGTGGTAGGATTATAGCTCACTGCAGCCTCCAACTCCTGAGCTTGAGTGATCCTCCTACCTCAGGCCCCCCAAGTAGGTGGGACTGTAGGTGAGTACCAACTGGCCCAACTAATTCAGAAAAAATTTTTTTGTAGAGGTGGGCGCTCACTTTGTTGCCCAGGCTGGTCCCACACCCCTGGGCTCTGGCTGTCCTTCTACGTTGGCCTCCCAAAGCACTGGGATTACATGTGTGAGCCTCTGTGCTGGGCCCTTAATTGCATCCTTATAGGCCTTATCTTGAAATATGTTGGAGAGTTAGGGCTTCATCATTTGAATTTTGGGGGCACACAGTTCAGTCTATAGCATGAGGTTTTGGGGGACAAGATAATATAGCCTAAGATTTGCCTTTTTCCGCTGGAAGAGATAAAAATTATGAGTAAAGTTACCTGTCATGTAACACTGCAAAATCAGAGGGCTACCTTCAGTATTTCAAACTGTAAATTTTTGTTTGTATTCCTACTTCTTTTCTCTCCATTCTGCACTACCTTGATGTTGTACTCCCATCTTTGCTTACTGAATTAAGCACAGCCTCCCCCAGTACCACCTGGCCTTGGTTCCATTTTATATTTTAAAAATGTTTTTCTTCCTACCTTTTTATTTGCAATTTTTTTAACGTACAGAGAAATTGAGTGTATTTACCAGTTAACATTTGTCACATTTGTTCTGTATCTCTGTGTATACACATACATACATATACAGACACACACTTTTTTCTTGAACCATTTGAAAGTAACATGCAGATACAATGATTTTTTTTTTTAGTTGTTTTTTTTTGTTTTTTTATTTCTGAGACAGAGTCTCGCTCTGTTGCCCAGGCTGGAGTGCAGTGGCACGATCTTGGCTTACTGCAAACTCCGCCTCCTGGGTTCTCCTGCCTCAGCCTCCTGAGTAGCTGGGATAACAGGTGCATGTGCCACCGTGCCCGACTAATTTTTTTGTGTTGATAGTAGAGACGAGGTTTCACCATGTTGGCCAGGCTGGTCTCGAACTCCTGACCTCGTGATCTGCCTGCTTCGGCCTCCCAAAGTGCTGGGATTTTAGGCGTAAGCCACCGCGCCCAGCCTATAACGATATTTTAAACCCTACACGTATCAGTGTGTATCATTTAATAACAAGGATATTTTCTTATATAAACTCATCATTTTTCTCACCCTGGAAATTTAACATTGATACAGTGATGTGTAATATACAGTCTGTATTCAAATTTTCCCAGGTTAAAAAAAAAATCTACCCTGTCTCTCACACCTTATTTCGTATTTCATGCTGCTTTCTTAGTTTGTATCTGGTCTGGCCAGACTGGTGTACTTCCTCTTCCTGAAGCATGTGCCGTACATGTCTGCTTTCGTGCCTTTGCACAGGCTGTGTCTTATTCGGAATCCGCTCATTCCATCTGGACCTGGTGAAATCCTGCTGTTCCAAGCACTTTGCAGTGGTTTTTCCTCATATGGCATCCCTTGACATCCCCTAATGTGTTTGCTCCCTTCTTTAAACCACAAGCTCTTTATGCTCTTGAATAATGTCTATTGCATCATGCCCTGTAATGAATGTAGAATTTTAGGACTTTTTAAAAATCTCCTTCTTAGGACTAGGGGCTTCTTGAGTATGGAACTTCATATAGCCTGTACTCTCCATTTTTGTTGCTCATTAAGTATTTGTTTAGTTGACTTAAACCCAGAGTGTTTCACATGGTATTTTATTTTTAGTATAATTTATTTATTTTTAGTGTTGTTTCTTAATTTGGAAAGATGGTCTGAAAATTCCAGTTTTCTGAAATTATCTTAAAGAATGCAAAGAACTAAGGATATGGACTTTACTGTGTATATAGGAATGGGGGTCCCACAGTTTTACTACCCTTTGACATTGTATCAGCAAAGTGAAAACTGTCAAACATGGCTTTCTCTAGACAAATGTATATAAGGATTGTATTCACAGTTCCACTGGTAAAATGGTGATAAATTGGGGTGGTATATGGCCTGTTGTATCCCAGCAGGACTTGCTGGGGGATGACACAGAGCAGCTGTAAGATCTCTTCTTTTATATCTAGGTTCGAGATGCAGCAATAAACAGCTTAGTGGAAATTTACAGACATGTAGGAGAACGTGTGAGGGCAGATCTCAGTAAAAAAGGATTGCCACAGTCCCGGTGAGTGCAGATTTTTTCCTTTCTTCTGCTCTACCCCCCATTCTTTTCCAGTTAATATCTTGATTTGCAGTACTTTTTCTGTTGTGGTTATTTTATTCAAAGAATATACGGTTAGAGGGTAGTTGGAGATTTTGTCCAGATCATACATCAGGGGTCCCCTCCGATTCCACTTCCTCAGAAATGAGACTTTCTCACCCAGACTGGCCAGGTCCCATGCCACATACTGATTTTAAAAGCAATTGGTATTGAAAAATTCAGCACTCTTACAGTTTTATGGTTCTATATCTAAGATTCTGTATCTATATCTGTACAGACAGCACTTAGTATAGTAGGTGCCTAGAATACATTTGAATGAATGAAGCCATTCCAGGATGTGTTTGGATAAAAAATCATAAGTTATAATTTTAGAAATCATGTTTTAAATGTAACTTTCTGTTTTCATGTCATTCTCAGTGTGTATAATTCCATGCAAAGGGATCAGCGTCTCATCAGACCCAAGACAACTGGAGTCCGGAAATGTGACTTTGTTATAGTCCAAATTTTTAAAATAGTATAATGATCAGATATGTATAATTTTAACTGTGATGGAGAAACTTAACACCAAATTAATTCCAAACTTTTACCCTGGGTCATTCCTTTAAGGGGGAAAGTAGTGTTAAAATTCCAGACAGAACTGGAGTGGACTCACAGGGCAGCTTATCTGAGCCTGTCATTTTGTCCATGCAAACCCCAGAGGCCTAGAGACATGAAGTGACTTTTGAGAGATTACACAGCTACTAAGAGTCAGAACCAAGTTCAAAACCCTGTTCTTCGGACTTGCCTTTAATTTTCTCTGCCCTGTTTCACAAAATAGTTGATGGCGTACTGGGCATCTGCAAATGGGATGGAATACTGAAATATACAGGAGTTAACTGTCTTGATGTCTCCAAGGCAAATATGACAGCAGTGGGCCCCAGACCCTCAAGTGGCGGCTCCACGGGCAAACAAGTGGACTATGTTTCCTTGTGGTTGAGAGTCATGCCTGATCTGGAATTGCTCTCACCATCTGTGCACAGGATGATTAGATGGGAATAAAACTACTTTTCTGTTCTTTACGAAAGATAATCTGTGAGAATAGTTTTTTTTTTTTTTTAATTCCTTTGTTTTGTGAACCTCAGCCTTCTGGTCTTTGAATGTATGGTGAGAACACAGGAGGAAAAAGAACTCAGCAGCAATACTGAACAATCTCTCAGGGAAAATTGGAGGGCACAGATGATCAGGGAAGGCATGATATCAAGGGAAGGGACTGTTAAATGACGAAGTCACCATGGTTGTTCAGGAAACAGGTCTTGAGAGTGAAACCCTGCCCTGCTGCAGGGCTGGCCTCACGCCATGCTGTGTAACATGATGTGACCCCAGACCGTGAATCCACCATTTTACACAGTTTCCATCTTAACAGGAGGCTTCCCCTGTATGTTTGGAAAGTAACCACAGCAAACTAGCAAATCAGGGAGAAACGACATGGTAGAACCGAGATCTAGAGAGGTGAGAGTACAGGAAAGAGTTCATGCAGCCAGCCTGAGACTGCTGTCCTTAGAAAGGCCTGCTTACAGGCCTGGCCCCAGGCTAGTGTCTAGAAATGTGGGTTTGGGGAGGGCCCCCACCATTCCCAACAAGTGGGATAAGAGTAGCTCACTGTGTCAAACTGCACAGCACAGTGTGGTTTATGCTGGATACCTGTAACCTCTCTGCCAGTTGGTCCCTAAAGCCTGTTTCCACCTGGACTGGCTGCCTTCACTGCCTCTTGGAAACCCATCATCCTGACATCTCTTTGTCATACTGGGTCTTTGCTTCACCTTTCTCGGCAGGTGCATCTGCTGTTTCCTGGAGACCAGGCCTTTTCTTTCTTGGTTCATTCATTCATTCATTTGTTCATTTGTTCATTTATTTAATTTTAAAAATTATTTTTATTTGTTATTATTATTTTTTGAGGCGGGACCTCACTCTGGTACCCAGACTGGAGTGCAGTGGCATGATCGTTGCTCACTGCAGCCTTAACTTCTTGGGCTCAAATAATTGTTCCACCTCAGTCCCCCAAGTAGCTGGGACTAGAGGTGCATGCCACCATGTGCGAGTAATTTCTGTATTTTTTGTGCAGATGGGGTTTTGCCATGTTGTCTAGGCTGGTCTCAGGCTGATTTTTTTTGAGTCACTGATTCAATCTCTTTACTTGTTAGAGGTCACTAATTCAATTTCTCTACTTGTTAGGGGTCTATTCAGATTTTCTGTTTCTTTTTGAAGCAGTTTTGGTAGCTTGGGTCTCTGTAGGAATTTAGTCATTTTATCTTGGTTATTTAATTGTTGGCATATAATTGTTCATAGAATTCCCCTGTAATCCTTTTTATTTGTACATGCTCAGCAGTGATGCCTTCCCTTTCAAGGTTTTTATTTGATTAATTTGAGCCTTTGCCCCTCTGGTCAGTCTGGTTAAGGTTTGTCAATTTTTGTCTTTTCAAAGAACTAACTTCTGGTTTCATTGATTTTTCTCTTTTTCCTGTTGTATATATGTTGCTTATTTCACTCTAATCTTTACTTTTGATTGGTTTGATGTACATGTCTTTTTCCAGTTTTTTAAGATGGTTATTGATTTGAGATCTTGTTTTAATGTGGACATTTACACCTATGAATTTCTAAGTACTGCTTTAGCTGTATTCCATAAGTTTTGATATGTTAATGTTTTCATATATCTCAAAGATTTTCTAATTCCTTTTTGTTTTCATTTTTGAGTTGTTACTTAGGAGTGTTTATTTGATTTCTACATTTTTTGATTTCTCATTTCTTTTTGTTATTAATTTCTGACTTTATCCTATTGTAGTTAGAAAAAATAATTTGTATGGTTTCAGTCATTTGAAATTCTTTTCTTTAAATTAAAAACATTTTTTTTGAGACAGAGTCTCACTCTCTTGTCCAGGCTGGAGTGGAGTGGTACAATCTTAGCTCACGGCAACCTCTGCCTCCTGGGTTCAAGCGATTCTCGTGCCTCAGACTCCCAAGTAGCTGGAATTACAGATGTACACCACTACACCTAGCTAATTTTTCTAATTTTAGTAGAGATGAGGTTTTGCCACATTGCCCAAGATGGTCTTGAACTTCTGCCCTCATGTAATCTCCCTGCCTCAGACTCCCCAAGTACTGGGGTTACAGGTATAATCCACCATGCCCGGCTTGAAATTTATTGAGGCTTATTTTTGTGGCCTGGCATGTGGACTCCTGGATAATGTTCCATGTATGCTTGGAAAGAATCTGTAAGCCAGGCCCAGTGGCTCATGCGTGTGATGCCATCCCTTTGGGAGGCTGAGACAGGATTGCTTGAGCCCAGGAGTTCAAGACCAGCCTTGGCAATGTGAGACCCCATTTCTACAAAAAAATAAAAAAATTAGTTGGGTGTGGTAGCATGTGCCTGTGGTCCTAGCTAGCTACATGAGACGCTGAGGCAGGAGAATCTCTCCAGCTTGGGAAGTTGAGGTTGCAGTAAGCTGAGATCATGCCATTGCACTCCAGCTTGGGTGACAGAGACAGACCCTGTCTCAAAAAAAGAAGAATCTGTATTCTGATACTGTTTGTTTGAATATCTTATAGATGTTTGTTCTAGTTGGATTATAGTGTTATTGAAGTCTTTTATTTTCTTGTTGAGCCTCTTTCTGGTTTTTAAAATCCATTAAGGAATGTACATATTGAAGTTTCCAGTTAATACTGGTGAATTATCTATTTCTCTCTTCAGTTGTCACTTTTTGCTTCCTGTATTTTGGGCTCTGTTCTTAGATGCATATATGTTCATAGCTGTTACTGTTGTAACAATTATTTACATTAGGTATATCTCCTAATGCCATCCCTCCCCCCTCCCCCCTCCCCACAATAGGCCTCGGTGTGTGATGTTCCCCTTCTTGTGTCCAAGTGATCTCATTGTTCAATTCCCACCTGTGAGTGAGAACATGTGGTGTTTGGTTTTCTG